GAATAATTATCACAATGGAAAAAAAAATGCATAAAATAACACTATACAACAGATATGTTTCAACTCAAATGCAAGTAATCTGATGGGCAAAATGCATATATTGTTCTGTGTTTTTAAAAAGTGTGATCATGAACGTATAACACTATGGAAATAGTCTGAATGCCTTCATATTTGAGCTTATGTTGTGCAACAAAAGCTCTGCTGATCAAAAGAGGAAGCACTAGGAGCAAAAGGCTGTAGGAGCTTTGGAGGATAACAATTCGAGCTGAGCATGTGCATTAAAAGCTGTTAATGTATTTCTTCGTCCTGCATTACCTCATTTATTCCTATCAAGATGTCTCACCACAGCAGTACAACATAGGACAGTCACATTAGAAGGGCCAGTAGGTAAATTGAAGGTTAAAAAATACAACATTAATGGCTGTTTTGGAGTGTTTCAGGTTTGTAAAATATAAAAGATTAGTATATAAACCTTAAGTAAATGTTTTCAAGGTTACAAGAAATTAATGCTTTGTTTAGCAAAGCATAATAATGGTTGCAACCACATTTGGAATGAAAAAAAAGATGCAAAGGGTTAGACAAGCTGTGGATTCAAACAATTGGACCTGATAATAGGCAGTGGCGGTTCCAGACCAAATGTACCAGGGGGCCAGGAGGGGGGCAGCGTTGTTTTCATGGGGGCTCAGAAAAGCATGAAATAAAAAAAAAAGGGCAAGGGATTAAAAAAAATTAAGAAAGCTGCACCAAGTAAAATTTCCATTCAATTAGGTTTGATTAAAATTATATTTCTTATTAGGTCAATATGTATTCAGGATTTAGGGATTTTATACATTTTCTTTCAAGTTAAAATTACCTGTTTTTTGCTTTTATTTATAAAATCTGAATTAGAACTCAAGAAAAGCTGATAAATTCACCTGTAAAAAGTAGAGCATTTGAAAAAAAAAAAAACATTTAGTAGATGAAAACTGCACTGGAAAAACGATCTAGAAATAAGTAAATATTTCTCACATTGAGTGCATTTACATTTAATTTGAGCAGGTTAACGAGATGATTTGCCAATGGAATGAGTATTTTTACTCTTAAAATAAGATATTTAGATAAAATGCACTTGAAATAAGAAAAATGCAATTGTGTTTCCTTATTTTAATATAAATTGTCTTGTTCCATTGGCAAAATGTCTGTTTTACCTTCTCAATTTAAGAACAAATGCACTTATTTTAAGAAAAAAATGACTTTTCTAGATTATTTTTTCCAGTGTGGGATCCTATCTCAATACCACTGATGCCTTATTATCACCTTTTTGTTTTTAAATTATTAGTAAAACAGAATATGTAAAGGGGGGAAAAAAAAGAAGAAGTATTATGTCTTCAGTACAGAGGCCAGGATTTATTGCATGCCTTATACCCACAGTGTTTTAGATATTTTTATAATTTTATTTACCTATTCCATGTTATATGTTTCATGTTGCACGATTGTACCATAAAAAATTCCTAATTTGTGAACTCCTTCACTAACAATGGCAATAAACCTGATTCTGATGATTTACAGGGGCACTGTCCCCCGTTGGCCCCTGTCTAGAACCGCCCATGATAATAGGTTTGAGGGCAAACATGTCCGTGATGATGACTAATCGTTAGGTCAGCCAGTTATCAAGCCTGTGTATGTGGCCTCCATCCCTGGTAGCACCCACTGTGGCAGAGTCAGGTCGGTAGCAAAGAGGCCATTGTTTATGGACTGAACTATCCATATTGGCTGGATGGAATGTGTGGCGAAAAATCTACCAGGACGCAAATTAACATTATGGAAGGAGTTATGCATGGAAATGTTTGCATCATTAAAGAAGAGGAGGTTCTAAAGAGGAGTTCTAAAAGCTTTTTTCTCCTCTGAAGCACCCATAAATGGCCTCATGCCTCATGCATAACATCCAAACATGCACATACAGCTCTCATTGTGGGACCATGGAGTGCAAAAAATTAATAGGCATTTTGAAGCACTGCTTGAAAAAATGTTGGCATGTGTGGTAATTCTATAGGACTTGACCTGGTTGACGCGATGCTTACTGTATTCCTTTACCCCTGAAAAAAGCAAATAAACTTGGCAGTCGATGGAAGAAATTTACAGAAGGTTCAGCAATAATATTCATTATATGAATTTACATTTAACGACAACATGGAAGAATAATTATAATGGAATTAATAGAGACCTTCTAATGATCTATTTCAGGATATCAGTAAAAATAGCTTTTTTTTGGACTAATTATTATTTGGCACCCAGGTTACAACCACTGCTATTTCTGATTCACGCAATTTAATTGTATTTTGATTTAATATCAAATCTGGCATTCAGATAACTTAAAAAAATAAGTTAAAGAAATTGATTAGTTTTTTATATTTTGATATCTTTGAAAGGATAGCTGGTAATATTTTGCTTGGTATTGGTATCTAAGTATTTAATATCTTATTTGTATCAGAATACTGACACTCCGCCTTAATTCACAGATCCGGACTAAAAGCTGGCAAAACCTAATTCTACTGTTTTAACACAACTTCAGTCTTTAATATTTTTCTATCAGTTTAATAAAACACAAGCAATTCTTTAACTGTATAAAATTGATTGGGATTTACAAAAAGGCCAATGAATACTAGCACCAATAATGGGGAGGATGGAGGTGTAGCTATAACAGTGATGGTCCTGTCCAAGTTTGTACCAAAAATGATGTAAAGCTTTTTGTTAGAGTAGCTGTTCTTAAAAAAGTTAAAAATCAGTACAAAAAAAAAAAAGAGTTGAAATGAATTGTTTAAAACAAGCGTTGATTTAATACCTATTAATAAACACCAACTGAAAATGTGACGGTTGTTCAAAACTTTATAAAATAGGGTTTGCCTCAAACACAAAGATGTTTTTGGGGATTGAAGCTTTTTATGGTCGGAGAAAGTCAAGTTATTTAGGTTTATAAACTAACTGAAAAAGAAAAAAGTGTCACCTGCTGCACCGGCCGGGTGCTGTGTCTGTTTATTAACAGCTAAACGAGATGTAGCCATGGTTATAATCTTTATAACTCAATAAATTTTCTACCTAATTTTCAAGATCGCACTGGAAAAAATCTAAATCTAGAAAAGGTATTTTTTTTTTAAAATAAGATCATTTTTTCTTAGATTGAGGAGGTAAAAGAGACATTTTGCCAATAGACCAAGACAATTTACACTTAAAATAAGAAAACACAATTGCATTATCTTATTTTCAGTGCATATTATCTAATTATTTTATTTTAAGAGTAAAACTACTCATTCCATTGGCAAGCTATTTCATTTACCTACTCTAATTAACGGTAAATACACTTAATTTAAGAAGTTTTTACTTATTTCTAGATAATTTTTCCAGTGCAGGAACCTGCAGCTACAGAAACATATGAGTATAGATCATGCAGTACAGGGAAACAATTGACTTTATTAATAGCGGTGATTACTGTAACTAATCTTGCTAAAACATCTCCACAGTGGGTGGAATAGTGTCTTCTAACAGAGACTCAGGTTTATTTTAAAAGGGATACATTTTATAAAAGATTTGGGGCAGGATTCCTGTCTAAACATTTCTTGGCTAAGCTCAGGACAGCTTATACGTCCCGTTTGTTACTGAACAAGATGCCACATGAGATTCCATGAACTTTGGGTACAGTTGAAACTCTGTATGTTTGCTGTGGATTTTCTAAGCAGCTTGAGTTCGGAAGCATCTTGTTTGCTGCAAACTGTAAGAGAAAGAATGAGTCCCTGAGGTGCCAGGAGAATCCAACAGATTCATGGCACAAAGGTCACAGAAAAAGCAACGGTATGCATCTTTCTTTCACAGACATACCAGATACATGAAGTGACTTGTGTGGTTTAAATTTCTCACTGCATTCTTAATGGGGAAGCACAGGGAAGTCCATATAGAATTATTATTTAAGGTATTATTTATGGTGCATTCTGGTATGGTGTTAGCATGACACCATCTTGTTTAATAATAATAATTGAACTTTATTGATCTCCTAGAGGAGTGTGGGGTTGAGGGTCTTTCTCAGGGAGGCTGTGGGGATCAAACCGGGTACTTTCAACCTTCTCAGAGCACAAGTGCACTGCTCTACACTGGAAAAAAAATCAAGAAATAAGTAAATATTTCTCAAATTGAGTGCATTTACATTTAATTTGAGCAGGTTAATGAGATGATTTGCCAATGGAATGAGTATTTTTACTCTTAAAATAAGATATTTAGATAAAATGCACTTGAAATAAGAAAAATGCAATTGTGTTTCCTTATTTAAATATAAATTGTCTTGTTCCATTGACAAAATGTCTGTTTTACCTTCTCAATTTAAGAACAAATGCTCTTATTTTAAGAAAAAAAAATGACTTTTCTAGATTTTGATTTTTTCCAGTGTAACCCACTACACTGCAAAAACAATCTAGAAATAAGTGAAGATTTCTTAAATTAAGTGAATTTAACCTTAATTTGAGTAGATAAATAAGAGGATTTGCCAATGGTATGAGTATTTTTACTCTTAGAATAAGATAAGATAAAAACGCCCTTGAAACAAGACAATGCAGTTGTTTTTTTCTTATTTTAAATGTATATTGTCTTGTTCCATTGGCAAAGTGTCCCACTTACTCCCTCAATCCAATAAAAAATGCAGTTATTTTAAGAAAAAATTACTTAAGATTTGAATTTTTTGCAGTGTAGGCCAGTACTCCCTTATTTGTCAGATGAAGACCAAAAAATTCCAAGCATCTTAGCAAGAAATTGAGTTATAGATGAAAACATGTATTATGAATGGAAAATATTTTTTTTTCTAATCAAATTTGTTGAAAATGAGGTGGAATTTTTGATCAGCCATCCTCAGTCATTTCGTTACCAACTTTTGTTAAAACTTAATCTACAGATTATTTTTTTCCCCGATTTTTATTCTGCAAAATCAAGCTAAAGTTCAGACTGGATAAAAAAAAACATTATTTTTAGAGTTACCACATATTCTCCTTTGGTCTTGACTTTTTATGGAGCACATACATGTTCCACCGATGCTTTGATCTAAAGCATCACAAACCAGTCTAAGTTTTTCTTAGTCTCAAGAAAAATACTTTCTATAATCATGGGTAGAAGCGACCTGAAGGCTGAGGTGATGCGGCTCACTCTGGAGCTCCAAGAGGCAATGGAGGAAAAGCTGCAGGCGGCTCGGTCCTTTTGGGGATTAATACGGTATATTTGAATCGAATTGAATCATCTTCATATACAATCAAGCATCATCCCTGCTTCTAATAAATAAAACAAATCCAAAAAGCATGAAGCTGCTATTAGCATTTATCACCTTGTGGATAGTGTATTCATGCAGATGTACAGGGTGATGTAGGCTCAATTAAGATTTAACTTTGGTCTGAACATGAGAAGTATAATACAGATGAAGGTGTATGAATACTTTTGCAAGGGAATGCTCTAAGAAACTTATGATTTTGACATCAGTTTTACTGTAATAAAAAAAAATCAATTCTGCCTTCTGGAGAATTAATGTGTACACTGAAATAAAAACACATTGTGCACACAGCTGTATATTTCCCAAACACATCTCAATATGATGGTATTAAGTACTTCATTTGGCAATAAACGTCAACAAAATATGCATAAATATTAGATTTTTTTTTTAAATAAGCCCACATGTGAGGGATTATTTCTGTCATGAGTTAAAAGGATTATTCCTCATGTGAATTACTCCCTTTATAATCCAAGTGCAGACAAAAAAAAAAAAAAAAAAAACTTAGTGTAGCTTGGTTCAAACAGAAAACCTTGAGCTAAAACCAAAACACAAGCATCTGAATTGTGATTTTTTTATATAATCACATTCGGGAAATAATTCTGTATAAATTGGCAGCAAATTTCTGCAGTTCTGTTATACCACACTGAGTTAAAACATATGCAGCTGTTTTTTTTTTTCTTCAACTCCTGACAGTAGCAAAATAGTCTGTTTCCCAAAAGTCAATGAATATCCATTATTGCAATATGGAAAGAAAACATATAAATTGTTTGGTAAAACCACATATTCAGATTAAACATGTAAAGCACAAATTTTCCCAACCTGTATTTTTTTTTTTTTTCTGTGTGTGTAGGCACGTGTTTCCCAAACATCTACAGTGTTGTGTCTAAGTACTGTGCTGGCAGAAACAGGAGTCAGTAGGATAAGGTCAAAAGGGATATTTCTTTACATCCTTATCCTGACTGATGCTGCATCGCTAACTGATTGGGGCGGAGCTTAGATGGTTTTTATTGTGGTTCACTGTCCCCTTGCTCCTCTACATTCTTAGAGCCTTCTTTTACTGAAATAAGCCACTCTGCTTCCTTTGATTCTTCCTCACGATGCCCTTCTTCCACCTGCTCTTCCCTGCTGCCCAATTCCTCTTCTTCTTCATCAATAGCCAGAATTGTTTCTGCTACTTTGTTTAAATGGACTGGCTCCGCCTCTGGGTCCTCATTTTGGGATTCATCTTCCATTACTTTTTTCCACATCTTGTGATTTTCCAGGAGGTGCTGTGTGATCTGGCAGAAAACTTTCCTCCTTTTCTTGGAAACGTCTTTCTCTAAAAGAAAACAAAAAACAAAACAGAATTTGTCAACTCTTTATAGCTCAGTTTAAAGGACATTTTTAGGGTTGCTTGATAAGAAATTCCTGAAATACAACATTAATGTTGAATATTGTGATTTCTATATCTGTTGCAGTAAACCAACATTTTTCTTTCTACTCTTTCTCATCTATAATATTAACCGTCCAACACGCTATGACCTTTAGCATCATGGGTCAATCTGTTCCAGGAGGATTGTTCCATATATCTTATGGAGGATAAAAAGTGCCAAAATTAAATAAATAAATACAGCATTAAATAAATAATTAAATGTGTCAATAATTA